TTGCGGTGGTTTCAAAATTAGAGTACTGTTTTTAAGAAATGGAAGATTTATTAAACAACATTCTTAGTATGTATGTACAATGCAGTCACATTTAATGAGAAAATCTCTCCCCTCTCCCAGTAAGAAGGCTGTAGTGAGCTGACAGAAATTTGTATTAACTAAAAGTCAGTCAGACAAAACCAGCCTTCAGCTTTGTAATTCCATTCTATTTTTAGTGGACATTTTATAAAACCTTTCCCCAAACTTGGTGTATATTTCTAATATTCACAGCTGTTACACCTTTTGTCTCAGAGTGATAAATAAGGATGAACTCAGAGTTCTGCTCTTGCTTAACAGTGATCATTCCTTGCTGATAAATGATTAATGTAATCCATTTATGAGATTGCCACAGCATCATTCAGATTTTGGCATCTTAATTTTATTAAGTAACATTGAGAAAATCCAAAAGTCCTTAGAATCTTCCTTGTGTAGGACCATGCTGCAAAGTGCATGGGAAGGAGACGTTTGAGCTTGATGCCTTCTTGGTGGGGAGATGGGCATTAGCCTGAGGACAAAGCACTGTACTTCTTAATATTGACTCTGCATTACTTCAGCATCCAGGCTTTAGACTTTTAACTACAGCTTCATGATGATTAGTCTGATTGCTTAGCCCTAGTTTAAAGTCATGGCCAAGTCAGGCAGTTATAATGCATTGTACTTTCAGTGTGGCACCCTTTGGCCCACACAGATTCTATTTGCAGTTAAAGTTGAGTGTGGATTTAACACATCTTTACATATCTTGCTATTTCTTTACCTCAGTAAACTGTAAAGACTGAATGTCTTTATTTCAGCCTAGGTCAAGCTGCTTTTAAATGAAAATTTGAAAGCTACACAAAACATTTATATTTTAAAAATAACACAAACTTAATGCTTTGATCAACAATATATCAAACATATTTTGGATTACAAGCAAACTACATTATTAAAAAAACCCTCATATTTCTTGTTAGTTACAAACTTGGTTATTTCTGGATTTGAAGTCAAGATAATCTAGCCTCTTGAACAAGATTTTTGTCTTAAAGAAGGCCAGATGAGTAAGCTGGAAAGAGAAGGGAAGAATATATTGCTTAGGATCTGTGTGCTTGTGTAATTGTTTTCTTAGATATAAAGTATTCTCAGTAATGTATTGGATGACTCTTTGGGTTATATTGGTTATCCAGATGACATGGAGCATCAGCTGATGTCTTCCATTGCTTTGGGTATGACAGTGCCTTTGTCACTGGTGTCCTATTGTTAGTTACCATTGACCAAGGACAACAAAGCATTTCCTAAAGATCTGGTTCCCTACCAGACCACCCTCAGGATAAATTGCCTCCTGATAGCAAATAAGAGCAGTTTAAGCTCAATGTCCACATGGAAATATAGTTGCGTGAAAAGTAAATACTAAAAGCACAATTGCAGCTTGTATACAGTTAACATTCATACAGTAGATTTTTAGAAAAGTAGAAAGGTCCCTACTTCAAAACTGGTTTTGGTGATTCTCTAGGAATTAAAAGTGGAGTGAACAACCTTTTTGTGCATGGAGCAAAACCAGTTTTTGTATGTCACATTTCCAGTGTGTTAATTCATATTTTATTGAAGATACCTTTTCTTCAGCCACTTTACCCATGAAGATAATGACTAGAGGTTCAAATATTTTTTTATTTTTTCCTTCCAGTATGTAACTGTTGAAATCTGGACAGTTCACAACTCAATTTTGATCTTCAATATTAAAGTCTGTGTTATGGTCTTGTAAGTAGTGACATCCACAGGCACTGTAGTGCAAGTTCATATATGTACACTGGGTATGATCTGCATAGCAGAATAGCATGAACAGCAGTAAGGTAAGAGTTCCTTTTTTACATTAAGAAGCAGAACTTCATTTGTATGTGAAAGAAAAGTTTTTAGCTGCTTGCCCAAGAAGCTTGTGTTTTCACACAGCAGTGTGTAAACCAGTAATTTTAGGGACATTGGCCATTTGAAACACTAAAGGTTATGTATACTTTTGTAGGTATTTTACACCAGAAAACCAGAGGGTGAAATTACCATTCACAGGATGGGATAGTCACAGGATCTGACTAACACAGTTTCTTGTGATAGAAGGAGGAAGATGGTATTTTTTCAGTCAGTTAAAAAAATTCCAAAATCAATCTGAAAAATTAGTAATCATATGAACTGTAAAGACTGAAGGATATTACACAAACAGCCCTGCTCTTGTTCTGTTTTTATAATATTCTGTGTCTGTGTTATTGTGCTTAGTGTATCAAAAAATCAGGCACACACCTCCCCCTTAAAGACTAACCTCCTCCAATCATGTGCAAATCCATAGTCACTTTATTTACTCTGCCTATTGAAGACTCCCTCTCTCCAGTGTGTGACAGGAATCCCGTGGCTTCATGGCTTTTGCAGTATCTCACACAATTACTACAGTGTAGTAGTGTATAAACCTTGGTCACCTCCTTGTCTGTTTTAACTTTTCAAATGTAGTGAGGTACAGAGCAGTGGGTACCGTCCAGGTAAAACCCCCCCCTTAGGGTAGGTTTCATTGGTCTTCACCTGCCATCTGTGGGCATTCATGCTCAGATGGGAAGACATTGTTGCTAGTGCAAAGCCATCACAGCTTTGAAATATGAGGTTTTGTGCTGTATAGTTACCTATAATTCTTTGCATTTAGTCTGAACAGCCTATAATACTGGTGGGTTATAAGAAGGAGGCTTGTGGTTGCAGAGAAAAGTTGCTCAGTGTGAAGTAGCAGTCTGTTCTGCAACCTCATGGAAAACCCACCTGTTTTCCACTGGTGCCCTGCAATGCAGAGGAGGCCTTGCCCTGTTCTTATGTGTGGTCTGCTTGGACATGTCAGTGGAAAATGTGAGTTCATAGTGGGGAAAATGTCGGAAACAGAGGAGTGTAGTTGATTTTTTTTTTTCTCTAGGAAGACAAATTGGGATGTTGAAAGTGCAGAAAATATCAGTCACCTTTCCTGGCAGTTTCCAGGGAGCTTTAGGCTGGTAACAGAAGCAGATTGTTTAGGAAGAAAAAACCAGACTTGTCTGAGACTTTCAGTTTTGTGTTGTTCATGTGCAGCTGGTTAAACTCCCTGAAGCCTTGCAACCACTGTGACTTTCAAGATTAAGTCCAAATGTTTGCATTATTTTGACTAAAGTTATTCCTTTAATAGGGAAGTGGTTAACAACATAGGTATTCCATGTTGGTGCCTGTCCCTGCTCTTAAAAGTTACATCCTCTTTGGAGGAGAAGAGTGGGGAAGAGATTTGTGTAACTGGAGCATCCATTTGGTCCATTTTGATGACGAAGCATGTTGGTGCATTGTTAGTTGCTGTAACAAGGCAATGCCAGATATGTAACAGGCACTTAGCATATAATGTAAAAAGCGCCTGCTCTTATGCCTGAATTACATCTTCAGGCTTCTCTAATTTCTAATGTCTGTTTATTCTTGTACACTTGTTTGTTAAATTAATCTTTTGATGACACTTAAAGAAGCAATGATGACAGCTGTTTTAAAACAACATTCACGAAGTAAAAACTTTTTTTGAACGAAGAGGACAGAATCTCCCAAAAGATCTCTGAGATGCTTTCATTATCCAAAGAACAAATATTCTGGCTGCAGTCCTGCCTAAAGAGAAGATTACAGACCAACATATTAAGCTTAGGGGTGTAAATCTGGAAGCTGTTTTCTGCTGAGGAGAGACTAAAGCATTAGAAGTCTAGGCTTTTGTTCTGTTCTTCATCAACTGTGATAGGCTTTCTCCACAGGCAGTGGTTTCTGAATTCGGTTGTAGTGGCTCCCAAGTCTGCTCTTGCTAATGGTTATAGCCTAACACAAATGAGCACTGTCACTGGGAACTTGGGAACTGATGACATTTTTTACACTTTCAGTTGTGATGAGGCATTTAAGTGTCAGAAACAAACATGGAGTGAAACAGCAGCAGTTTTGATACACATTTTATGAGATAGCAACGGTACTGTTGGAAATTTTAACCTGAGGACTCAGGGTGGTAGCAGTGCCTTCCATTTTTGTTTCCAGTATTATCTTTATGATCACAAATTCTTCAGTCTCAGACCCACGTACCTCAGTGGAAACTTTCTTCTATTCTAGTTATAATTATATTTTGCCTGTTAATATATGTAGAATGTGAAAATTGAATTCCTCTTAAGGAATAGCATTGTCACCATTCAACTCCATTTGCAGGCACTTGAGAGAAGTGAAACATAATCTCATGTATTTTGCATCTGGAGTGTTTTGTTTACGTGACTAGTTTTGCTGTAGGTACTTTGTATTTTACATGCCTTTGAATTGTTTGTGGTGGAGATTTAGTAATCCTTCTTTTTCTCTTTTCTCCCATCTGTATCTGGTTTGTAAGTAATGTCGTATTTTCGATTTGTTCTTCTTTGTCCTGAGGAGATTAATTCTTCTGGCTCTAAATGTAGCCCTGTTCATGACTTCATAGTACATGAGGTGTTTTTCACAAGAAAAAAAAAATGTAATATATGGATGGATTTTTATATGCAATGGATCAAGGTTAGAAAAAAGCTTTTGCAAAGGATCTGGTGAACCTGTGTTGGAGGTTTGGGGAGGGAATTGCATTTAATCTAAAACCACATTTTTTCAGAAAAAAACACCACCTTTAGCTCTTGAAAATTATTGGACAGTCATAGACAGGATTAGTGGCAGTACATTAGAGCTCAAAAATTGACAGATGCTTGACCATTCTGAACATGGAAACAACTTGGCAGTCTGCAGTTTGGAGCCACTGGCCCAGAGCATCTAAATAAATCTTTGTTATGTATTACTGAAGATTTGGTAGTGGGTGGTGACCATTATGCATAGCTTTGATATATTAGACTCAGGGAAAGTCTTTCCCTTTTCTGTGGTCTTGTGAATTTATGGTCAAAGTAAGAAATTTTTCTCAGTTTAACATTTACCTCTTTTTATTAATACTAAATATATTGCTGGGGTGCTATCTCTGTGTACATGAGTAAGATGGTGTTTGGTTTTCTTCTGCCTTGCTGATTAAGGTGCTTAGTGAATTACAGGAACAGAAGACCTCATTGTGCCTGGCATGGGCAGTTTGTCTTGTTCCTGTCTGCATATCAAGTGCATGGCACTTCTGTAGTGTCTTACCAGCCAATGAAGTTATGCTGTTGTTGCTGCTGTGATTCTACACTGCTTTAGGTGAGGGTCTGGCTAGTTTATTCTATTTGTTAGGAACAAATGCATTCCTGGATTCTTTCTCCATTTTACCTGATAAACCTTACCCTGTCAAGGAAAGAACTAAAGAATTTTTGGGAAGAAATTGGGTAGTTAGTCTACCCTGTAAAATGGCATTTTGTTTCTAAATTAAAAAAGCCTTACTTTTTTCTTCAATTCTTTACATTTGAGGCATGACAGAAGTTCAAGGTTTTTAATGTCTCTTGTGAGGAAGAGGTTTCACTCTGTATATTTTTTTACCTGTTGAAGAGAGGAAACAAGGAGTACAAGAACTGATTTAAAAGTAATTAGAATCTTGATAGCAAATTTCTAGTGTTGAAGCATGTCTTGCTATTGAAGCTCTTTGCTTTAAATGCACTTAAAAACTTCTGAACTCTGCCTAAGTTTTGTGCATTTTACAGCTTAGGTTGCTTGTCTTGTACAAATAACACAAAAATGTTCACAGGGCGGGAATGATGCTTAATAATTTGAGAGGAACAAAATGTTATGTCCCCTTTGTTAATAAAAAGGAATAATTTTACCTTGTAACAATAAAAAGCCCTGGTAGAAACAGTATGAATCAAAGCTATGTATGGTGAGGAGGAATTACCTATGAATGATATGGTGAGATAGAGAAAGAACTAAGAATTGGAAAAAAACATCTCAACATTGATGTCTACCAGACTGTGGAATAATCTCCCAGGGAGTGAATACTCAGTAGTGCATGGGCTTCAACAATACTGTAGGGAGCAATCCTCTGGTTTGAACAGTCTCTTTCAGAGGGATTTTCATGTAGGTTTGCTTTTTACAGTCTAGGATGGATTTATCCTTGAAACTGATTTAAGTCAGTTTGTCACTAGATGTAGTTTTCTGATTTTTTTTTCTATGAGAACAACAATTTGATGATGTGGTGAATTATTTTGAACTCTAGTTTTGTCGTTGAAGCAGCATTCCATGACTCTTTCCCTTGTCAACTTTTTTAGCATGATATTTCAAGTTGGAGTAATCCATAGTAGAGTTTGGAAATGTACCTTATCTGTTTGGTTTTACAAAGGCAGATCAGGTGATTGTAGTGTAATTGCATATGGTTATGCTTTGCAGTGACTTTTTATATTCCTCTGATCGGAATGTTTTTAGCAAGGGTCTCCTGTACCAGTGGATCTATGATATAATTTCGCACATTACTACCACAATTTGTACCACTTGCCTTTCCTCCTTCAAAAATACAGGGGAAGTAAAACCTGTAGAAAAATCAGCTTTCATGTGTAAGGAGCAGATGGATTCACAGTGAGTGGCAAAGGAAGTGTAATCAAATGCTAGGTAAAAAAGAGTTTAGACAAAAATAGTAAAAACTGGGCAAATGCCCTCAATGAAATAACGGCCAACATGAGAAGAGGGTTAGTTAATTTTTTTGAAAGTGGGAAAACAGAGAGGGATGTTTCAGAGTTAAAAGTATTGGAAAAAACTAATTGTAAATGTTGTGAGTAACTGTAATAATAGTGATGAATTAGCAGAAACACAGAAACACTGCTAGGGAATAGGTTTGGAAAATTCTTTATGGGATTTGGTGTTAATGTAGTTTAACAAAAGCTCTTTTAGCTCCTTATTGTTAGATTTTAATTCCAGGGAGAATGTCATTTCTAGCTGAAGTACTTTTGACTGCCACAACTACTTATTGAAAGAAGGTGTTTGTATGCAAACGTTTTTCTGAAAAGGTGAAGTAGATATTTTAGTTGCAATATACCTTGAGCTATTTAAGAACATTTCTCTTTTCTGCCCCATAGAAGGTTCAAGCAGTGCCACTGTTAACCCTGAAGAGTCTTACTGTTGGTTCTCTCCAAATATTTTTCCCATGCTTTTAAAATCTGACATTGTAGAAATATTTGTTAGTAGTAGAAGAACTGGTAACATTATTTCTGTAGATTATTGCTGTAATCATCCTGACGTGTTTTGCATGTTTGCCCGTCACTGTAATACTTTCAGCATACAGAGCAGGCAGTTCTGCCTGTTGCATCACCACAACTTGCAGTAGACCAAAAGACAATAATCTGACATCAAGGCTGTCTCCATTGAGTGAGCGTGCTGAAGTTTTGATTGCACATGGTGTGACTGCAGTTGTATCAAACTGGTGTTGTGGGTTCAGTGCTACTCAGAATTGAGGAAATCACTGTGTGGCATATCACTGAATTAGTCAATTCCTTGGATGTATTTTGGTTGCAAGTATTGAGCAGTCTAAGAGGTTGTACATTTTGTTTCTTCTTCCCTTACCCCTTAGCTTTTCCAAAAAAGAAAGTTTTGAGTCAGAGTTGAAAAACTACCATTTTCAAATAAAGCACCTTTTACAATATGTACACAGCAGTTACTGATTAATTTTATGTTTTTAAGATCTTCCTGCTTTTGAAATGTGTATGAAATCCATTTATTTGACAGCCTTTTATAGATCTTTAAAACTGGAATAACAGTGAAATAGCATGTTAGTAGAAAGTTGTGTGGTTCCCATAGCTGTGTGCCCATGTGGGTAGCTGGCTCTGGTGGGGTGCCCCAAAAAGCCTGCTGCAGCTCTGATTTCTGATGTGAAGCCTGTTCAGCGAAACCGAGAAGTTACCTGGTGTTCTGGTGACCTGCCTGACAGCTGTGGTTTGCAACTGCTCTACTTCTGCTGTGCTGTGTGAGGTGTTTGAAGCACATAGAAAATCTGCCAGGATTCTGAGCTTGGTTCTAAGTTTGATAGTAAGTTGCTGATACTGCTTCTGTATATGTAACCCAGATCATAAATCATTGAGAGAGTGGTGAAATGGTTGGGCAGCTCAAGTGCAGACTTTGTGATTTCAACCAGCATGCTAATAACGTTAGCTTTATTTTTTCAATAAATACAGAACATGTAATTAAACAACTTCTGCCTGATGCCTGGAGCTTATTAAGGGATTTCAAGTCTTCCATGACTTACGGTAAGATTCACTAAAGCTTGTTCAGAGGTTTAGCTTGAATGTATTATTTGAAAAATAGTAGAAATACCTGAAAAATACCTTTTCTTTGTTTTCTTTCTGTGTAAAGCAACAATAAAAAGCAATGGAGGTGATATTGCTGCTTCAGTGTTGAGGGAGTAAGGAGAAAAGTAATGAGTTGGTAATCTCCTCTGTGTAGGAGATGACCTTTTTAATTTAAAGTAGCACTTAGTTTATTTTGATAGTAGTTATTACATTGCATGCTTCTATTTACATTTTCACTAACTTCTTGCTCTTGAATAGCTTGTAGCTTGTAAAGCTCTGTAAAGCCTTTTTCCGAGCTATGAATAGGCTAGCTGAGCATGGCATTGTGGAAGCCCTGGATAACAGCTGAGGCTATGCTTTTGAGCCTCAACATTCAAAATCTCTGAGGTGGAAATTAGTGGGAGTGAAAGGTATTATCAATAGCATATTTTCTGAGCTTAGCTGTATCTTACCTAAATGAGATTTTTTCCTGGGGATCCTAGGATTGCAAATCTTTAGATATTTGAAAAAGTAGGAAATAGAAATATCTAAGAGTCTTAAAGATTTTTTGACTTAGCAGGTCTCACTGATTTGCTTCTAGCAGAACTAGCAAAGTTCCAAATAGTGATTTTTTTGCATGCTCCAGGAATCTAGAAGAAGCAATGTTTTTAATGAGGAGAAAACAATTCAGAGGTATCTGATTTAAATCTCTATAGCTTTGCTCTAATCCTGCCATTAGCACAAAACTGTATTCAATTTTGTGGATTTACTTTTATTTAGAATAAATGGAGGTCCCTCCTTGCTTTGTAATCCATATGCTTTTTACTTATACTGTCAAAGCCTTACTAGGAAACTGAGCTGAGGTGGCACAGGCTCATTGTGCACACCTCAGGAGAACATGCCCATATACTACTTGAAAGAAATTTTGCCATGTAAGTTCCACATTTCTGCCATTTTGGGGTTGTTTTTTTTTTTTTTATGTTTGTTTTATTGCTGTTGTTTTTTATGTTGCTCTCAAAAAAGAAATCTGTATAAATAACTTTATTCCTATCCCTTGTGAGCTGCATGTAGACCATACTCTTGTTGTGTGTGTACTGTCCTAACAGAATGGCTTGGTTGATGTCTGATTTTTTTTGAATTTTTGTTGAGCCAATCAAACAAAACCCACCACAAACAGAACCCCTCCAAAACTGCAGAAGCTTGTAAATTTAGACTCAGAACAGCTGTTTCAAGGCAATTTTTCTGTTAATAAGGTATTTTTTACTGTGAGCAGTTAAATTCTCCTCTAATATGGAGAACATTAGGTTTGCCTCAGGCTTATGAAGCTTGAAGGAATTTAAGAAAAAATTCCTTCTTATCCAGATCATATTTGTGGGAATGAGATACTGAAAAAAATTTCCTGGAACAATAGTCATGCAATAGTTTCCACATAAATGACTGAGGTGTTTTAAATTGCCTGTCTTTTACAATATGGATATATTTTTTAGATTATGCAGAAACTTTAAAAAGCTTTTAATTACTGTTTTGTCTGTTTACTTCTAAGTTTCTACACAATTTAGTCAGTGTTTTTGACATTAATATGGATCATGATACCACACTACCTTGTGCGGAATTCATCAGGGTTTTGTCCACTGCGACAAATTGTATAGGTTAATACACAAGCCAGCAGTGAAATCCTCTTGTGTTCTTTTGGGATGAAAGAGGCGCTATTCAGCCTTATTTTCAGTCTATCTTTTTAGTTTCTCCTGGGATGTAATAGGTGAATGGGAAAATAATCTTTCAGTGAAGTGACAATGCTGCATTTCTGTACTTGAGTTGTACTCTTGTACAATTCCTCCTATGCTTTTATCTTTTGCTTTCTGTCATAGCTTGCCCCTAGTTTATGGTCTTGTCAGAACTCAGAAAATTTCAATATGCAGGTTGCAAAATTTAGAAGAAATAATTTCTGGAGTAAAGCCAATCAGGAACATCATTTGTTAAATAATTGATTACTAAGTAGATGGATTCTGTACACAGGGAACCATATGAACTTTTTGGTAGTGTGATACTTGATAATTTGTATAGAATCTCATAAAATGACCTGCAGTTAAAAATGTTTCAACAGGCAGATGAATTATCTTCCCGTGTATGACCTGTAACCATGTTGCCTGACTCCTCCTTGACCCTGGCATCAGCGCCTGGCAAGAGAAGTTGGGACACCTTCTGATCCCTGCCACACTGGTATAGCCCCAAGTGTTTCAAAATATAAAGCTTTTTCAGTATCTTAAATAATTCAAAGCAGTAGTCTGTCTGGGGTACTCACTTTCACAATACAGTTAGTTCATGTTTGGAGATGAGTGAAAGTGAAGTTAAAAAAACATGACACAAGAGTGGCTAGCACAGTGTAGACAGAAAAGCGCTGCTATGGGGAAGAACTTAATGAGAGGATCTAGGAGATTTGTCTGATCCAAAGCCGGGACTGGTGAAATGAAGGGAGGCATTGAGGCTCTGTGTGATGCACTAAATACGGCCACGGGTCTGTGATTCCTTTGCAGGAGAACACTCATAAGAAATTACACAAAGACAAAAAGAGCCTGATTTTTGTAAGATTCATAAAGATTTCATAAGTCTACTGTTCTTATACTGGTCTGTTGCTTTCTTGTCCACTTCCCATATCCTTACTAGGCATCTCCCTAGAAAGCGGGGAAGGTGGTCATGGAGGAGAAGAGAGTGAGGATAGGGTCATGCGGAAGACCTGCTGAGCTGTGGGCCTGGTCATGCCATGTGTGGACTGACCTCACCCTCCACCTTCTGGGGTTGCTTCTGAAGCTTTAAGAAATTCCATTATGTTTTAGACTTTTAAAATAAATTAAGAATTGGCCAGTAGCTAAAAAAGTTAAGTGTGAGAAATAAACAAATGTTTAATCAGTTGAAACTACTGTTTGTGGATTAGCAAAACAGCCTACCTTCCAGCCTCTTTAATCACAGGGTGTTTCTTTCCAGAGTTATGTTATTTATAGGTTATAATCTTACGAGCTTGAATGGCTCTGTTTTCTTTGCGGTAAACAGTAAGTGAAAATCAGGGACAGACTATCTTAAATCTTCAATGAAGATTTAATTATGCCAGCATTTTTGTTTGAGTAATACCAACTTGAATAAAAAATTATGTATACTTCACATATATAATTGAGTCTCCACAAAATTGCTTATGAACAGATAATAATTTTATTGTTTGTGCTTTAGAAGTTCATTCTTGTTTATGGCTTTGGTGATTTGTTTTTACATTTTTCATAGATCTTTAAAGAGTTAATGCTATATGAAGTACAGAATTTCAGTTATGTTTCTAAAAACAGAATTTAAATGTTTTGATGTTAAAAACTATGTATTTATAATTCTTCATAAGCCAAATGTGAGACCATGATTACTTAATTTTGCTTTTTTACTTGCTTTTTTCTTTCTGTCCGAGATTTAAGTTATGATTAATTGAATAAAATATTACTGGAGGAGATTATTAGAATCCTTAGAGGACTGTTTTTAGTTTCAGTACTTGTCATTTTCCAGTTGTAGTCATCTTTCATAAAAAGATCATGCAGCTAATAGTAATATTTTTATTTGCACCAACAATGTTTTTACAAATGAATGAATTCCTCAAGAGAGCAGTTTCAGTTACTTCAGAAGAAATACAGAATTTTGTGATAATCAGATGATTTCTTTTTTTGAACTGTTTTCTTGACATTTTTCAATAAATATTTGAAATAATTTTGAATCTTTGCTATCAATGTCACTACAGTGCAACTGCTGCTGTAGTGGCAAATAATTGAAAATAATGGGTTATAGAAAGGAAAATTCCTCTGTTAGAAACAAGTTTTCAAGACAGTAGATTGATTTAGTGTATAACCTTCTCCCTGTGATAAAATAGAATTTAGGCTGTCAAAATTGATGTATTAGCACATCGTAGTGGAAGGGTTGGCATTTTTGTTTCTGTTTTGTATTTTGTTTTCTGTCTTGGATATTACTGTCTGAATTGGCAGATGATTGACAGACAAAATATTCTTTGTCATGACTGAATCAAGAGATTTCCATTAAAAGCAGATTAAAGATGGTAGAATTAATCTAATTGTAGGGAGTTACTCTACTTCCATTTTTAAAGAATTTTAAAGATAGGGTTTTATTTTATTTTAATGACTTCTACATTTTTAATTTCACTTCCCTGAGGGAGAATTGTTCAAAGGCTGTGATTTATTTTGATGATTGGTTTTTTTTGACATGTTTTAAATTTTTTTTTTTCTGATAAAGGTGAGCTACAAAGGTATCCTCTTACTATGAGTTGAGTCAACTTTTTTTTGGTGATAATTTTTTTTTATTTTAAATGTAATATTTGCTTCACTTTGTAGAAGGTTTCTTGATAAGCCCCTGGTCTAAATTAATTTAAATATTTATTAGTTTGAGTGGCAGTGGGGAGAGTCTGGATGGATTCCATGTTGCACTTCATTTGAGATTCATTATAATTTCAGCTGTAAAATATAGTATGCAAACCACAGAGAGGAATCTCAATGTTGAGGTGGAAATCTGCATCACAGTGGTATTTTCAGGATTTTGACAGTAGTACTGAACATTTTCATCAAAGGTTTGAAAACTAGAGTGGGGGGGTAGTGGTCTTGAAGGGGATCCACAAGGCTATAGGAGGAAAAGAAAACAACTACAGTGTGAGTTCAGAGAGGATGGGAGGTGCCCTTCAGGAGGTGCCAAAGCAAGATGCATTGAACTGTGGGAGGGAGCAGCTGGATAAGTAGCGGGTCTGCCAAAACCTCTGTGGGGATTGCAGCTAATGTGAGATGGGTTGGCTATAAATTATTGTTACTGAAGGGAGGTACTGTACTGAGAGGAGGAATATCACCTTAGGAAAGGTGCAAAGTGCTCAGTGTGGGCTCAGGTGGTGTATCTTGTTTGGTATGCTGTGCTGGAGAGAGCTGGTGAAAGTTTGAAAGAGGGCCGTGGAAGTCTCTCGAGGACAGACTGTGTGAAGAAGGAATCCCCACAATTAAGTGGAGATTGTTTAGCTGAAGAAGGGATGATGTGTAGAGAGCACTGAAAATATCTTCAGTGAAGAAATAGACAGCAGGAAGTCTGTTCTGTGTTTGGCAGGATTGGGTATAACTAACCAGCTTTTACTGAGATGGTGAAGAGCCAGATGACAGCTTGGGAAAACTGCCAGCAGTAAGAATATCAAAATACTCAAATCTGACTAAGTAGCCATGGATAAATACACATATCAAAAATAAAATAGTTATCACTGATGCCTCAGGGACAGGCACATTGATATGGTTGTGTCAGATTGCATCTCAAGATATGACCCAGTGATTGCTAAGTTTCTGATATGCTGTCAGAGAACTGAAGTTTGATTGGTTTCGCAAACAGGAAGGTAAAATCAATCCACTTGGAACCACCTCCTTCCCTGCCCCCCCCCCCCCCCCCCCTCCCCCGACTTCTGTTTTCCTTTTCTCTTATTTTTCTATTTTCCTGTTCTCCAGGCAGTATTCTTGCTGGTTAGTTCCAGACCAGTCTGGAAGAAGAGATGACAAAAGTAAAAAAGTTTCATTTTTAATTAAACTGCTGATGAGAAAATGGGAAAATATATTGACTTTCTCCTCTGAGAAGAACACAAACTGAACCTGGCAGTTGCCAAGTTGACCAGGCAGTTGTATGTGTTGGACCAGTAATGTTCATGTAGCTCTGGACCCATAGTAGATTGTGAGGGCCACCTGTGCCCTGAGGGGCATCAAGCACAGCATCACCAGCCAGGCAAGAGAAGGGACTGTCCTGCTCTGCTCTGCCCTAATGGACCAGGCTCCCCAGGGAAGTGATCACAGCATCAAGCCTGATAAGAGTTCTGGAAGCATTTGGGCAATGGTCACAGGCACATGGTGTGACTCTTGGGGTGTCCTGTGTGAGGCCAGGAGTTGTACCCTATGGTTCTGATGGGTCCCTTCTAATTCAGTGTATGATTATATGATTCTGTTTCTTGCCTCATAAGAATTTCTTCAGGTGTTAGAGTTAATTTTGATTTAGTAGTTACAAGATGGTTTAGAAGACAAATAGCCAGACACAGGGTTTTGAGTTTCTTTTGAGTTTTTCTATCTGAGCAATAGAATTGTTTGAATTCATGAAGTAGTAATCCCAAGTGTTCACAGAAAAACTCCTTCATAATACTCATACTTTTATGACCAACTTTATAATTCTTTATCAATTATTTTTCCATTTTTGCAGATTAGATATCATATGTAATCTGTAACACATAAAAGAAGAATCATATAGAAAATACCCATGGCTTTGTCATATACCAGTATTTGAGAAAATACCAATGGCTTTGGAAAGTTGTAACCTCTGACTTGCAATATGTAATTTAGATGTTAAGCTGAAATGTGACATACCCAGCAGATATCTGCAAAGGGGGTCTGTTTACAGTTTGTGGTTTTAAGGGAGAGGTGTAAACACAATGTAATGGCAGCTTGTTTGCTGGTGTTTAAACATGTTAACTTGTATTAATTCTATGTTGAATGCTAGCTGCCTCGCACGTTAGTTAATAATTACAACACATCTGAGCACACTCTACGCAGATAATGTAGGGGGAATGGAAGGAGTATGGATTTCATGCTTTTCAAATAGATGTGAAATCCCAGAAAGCTCAGACTGGCTGATCCTCTCTCTGTCAGAATCTGAAACCTCTGCACTTGCCTATACATGTTAAGTATTTTCACTTGATATGCATCCTGAGTGGTTGATAGTCTGAGAATCTTTGATTTATCATGGCGCATGAACTGGATTAGAACACATTTACACTGTAAGCTGTGACAGTGGATTTTTTCCTGCCACTTCACATTTTTTCCCCTTTGGATACAAGTCCTGTGATGCAATTTAAAAGGAGGGTAGATGTTTGCAAATTAATAAAGTCAAAGCCACAACTCAAGCCTTCAGTAATGAGTTTTGCAGGCTGTTACTGTTGCTCAGTTTTCTTGAGTGTTTATCTCTCACATGAGCTTTGCTCTCTCTTTCTGCTTATTGAATTGTTCTACATTAGGGATAATGTCCAACATAATTCCCAGAGGAAGTGAAGAAATTTGAAGGAGATTGGTTTGCTGCAAAATACTTCCCTATATCTAAGTAATTGAGAATCACAATATAATTTGATTCATGTCACAAATAGCATGCTGGGCCTGAGAGAACAGAAATGGAAATTGTGC